AACAATTAATTTCCACTTGTTGATGGCATGTTTATCCAGTGGCTCAAGTTTAATTCAGCTCTGGATCAATGTTGCTAATGAGTTCATCTTACAATCCACAAAGTAAGGCCTGGGTGGGGTGCCACAGACCACAGGACCAGATATGGAGATCTCCAGTTGCTTTTTCTGTTTGTTTCCCAATTATCTGGAAGTAAAAACCAATACTTGGAACGATCACCTTGAAAGTACAGCTTGATCTTGTTTTGAAAACAACATCAAGATCCCCCAGACTCCAAAACCTATATATAGGAAGCCTGGGGGGGGTTGTGTCTAGGAATATACTAGTGTTTTAAAGTCAGAATGCTTTAGGTAGGAGTCTGATTCTAATATTGTAGTGGGCTGTATGATCAGCTTTCCCAACAAAAGATAGATGGACTTGGAACCTTATCTGCAGATGTAATCCAGTTTATGATTTTGAGACAAGATCATCCAGGTTTAGGGTGGTCCCTGAGTCCAATGATAAGTGTCCTTATCCTCGAGGAGGACACCGGGAGGAGGTGGACACAGAGGCAGACTCTGGAGTGATGCCAATAAGCAAGGGACACCATGGATGGCCCGAAGCCACTAAAGCGAGGGAAGAAAAAAGGCCTTCAGGAGGAGCTAACCCTGCCCACACCTAGATCTGAGAGCCGGGCTTCCTGAATAAATTTCTGTTGTTTTCAAGCAGTCCTTTTTGAGGGAATTTGTTATGATAGTCTGAGGAAATAGAAGTATCAACCTTGTGCAAAACTTATATTCATCAATCTCCTACTCCTCAGCTGGAGAATAAGATTTTAATAATCCTAAGTACATAGTTTAGTTGCTAGGATTGATAAGTTAATGTACATAGAGTGTTTAGAACTGTGTGTGGTCCAGCCATGCTATCGGAACAATATATATTATAACTATAATTGCTATCATCATGAATACACATTTGGAGTCATTGAAAGGTACCTGGGCAATATCTCTGGATACTGGGGTAAAGAAGAATCCTTTTTTACTGTGCTTCTCTGTGTTGTGTGAATCATGCACAAGGGACATGCATTAGTTTTGGAACTGAAGGCATCTGTTACTCTGAAATGATCATTTTTTAAATAGTGCAAAGATTGCTTACCTGCAAGCTCATGATTGGATAAAGACAGTTGTGCTATGCTTTGCAAATATGGAGTATTTAAACAACGTGTACTCTATCAAGAATCTCCTGGCTATGGAGAAACAGACATCTGACTATTAATTCCTGAGAACTACAGGGCACAAATTTCTACAAGTAACACACTCTTTTGGAAGTGCGATGCTCTGAAAAATTGTTTCCTATTGCCTAGCACCAGAAAATCCGATTACTTGCTATGCATGCTTCTCTTTCCACACTTACACTTCTGCAATCACCACAGAAAAGTTAATTTCATATGAAACTGTGTTTTTTTCTTCACAGTTTATAACTACTATTCAGAAATCTAGGTGTTTTCATAATAAACCTTACAGAGCACTTTAATTAAATGACCCATTTCTCTTATGAAAAGCACTACTTTTGTAATGAAGCTCTGAGCGCAAACCAGCCACCACCGAGTTAAGGCTTACAAAGGACGTGGAACAGCCCGCTGTGCTGTAAACAGGAGGGACGTGGAGAGCGGGTGCTAGCTGGCGTGGCAGTGAGGCACAAGGGCGCTGGCGCTCTCTGGCTCTTCAGGGATGAGAGAACATCAAGAATTTCATCCTCTACAAAATTGCCTTCATGGCCCCATAATAGACAGGTAGGTGCCAAGTACTCTTTAACAATGACCACGACTTTGCAAAATACACCATGTGAAAATCATTGTTATCAGCAGCCCCCTACTATCACGTGAAGTAGGTTGTATTTTAGCACAGCAGAAACTGAGGGGGTGCCAAGGTAATGTTGCTATTTGAGATCTCCCTCTGCGCGAGCTGTGGGACCTCTGGCAGGGGAAGACTGTGGGCCTAAAAGGGTTTAAACTTCAGGGGAGGGCTTGGCAGAGGTTTCCTGAAGTGTGATCAGGTGTGGTCACGAAGTGCTTGCAGGGAGCCCGGACGGGGGAGGGCACCTACAGACGTGCCGCGGGAGCAGCTCTCCCAGGTTCTCTTCTTGTTGGAGCCCTCTGCGGCTTCTAGTCTGAGCCTCTGGCATCGTGCCCTTGCTCCCCGGCCCCTGCCAGGTTGTTCTTCCAACCTGGGCATTCTCTTTTACCTCAGGCCACTGAAGAAGAACAAATGTGTCATTTGCTGGAAAATGGATGGAATGGGATGTCATCATGTTGAGCAAAATAAGCCAGACTTGAAAGATACTATGTATTTTCCTTAATATGTGGAGTCTGTTAAAAAAGAAAAAAACCAAAGACGACATGAAAGGAGAAGGGGCGTATTACTAGCGGAAAGGAAGGGAGCCAGGGAGAAGGGCTAGAGACTGGAAGGGACGGCAGTGGAGGGCGGAGATGACCCAGACGTTATGTGGAGGCATGAAAATAACACGATGAGACCCCATGTTTTATAAACTAATATGTAATAAAGAAAAAAAGGACAAAGATCAGTTCTACATCTGCGTTCTACCTGCCTGTGCCTGGGGGGATTCTTACCGAGTGGTTTCATCCCATATATCTACAAGCAGAACAGACAACAGACAGGAAGCCGGTGGCAGGCCATAAAGGCTGAAGGGAAGAGGGAAGGGAGGGAGAGATGGAGAAAGAGAAGCAGCACAGAGTGCAGGAGATAAAGCGAACAGGTGAGTCCTACAACCCAAAGCAGTACTCAGAACAAGGCCTGGTGTTCTCCATGTTCACCCCCTCCTGCTCTTGCACGAGCCCAGGAATGTGGTGTGGCCGTCTGCACCTCTCCAGCACCCTCCCACATCCCAAGTCCCTGGCGTGCTCCTTCCCCGTCCTCCTCGGCAGAGAGACCTTACGGATCCAAGCAGACCTCTTGGTGAGGCTTGACAAGATGCTTTCATAGCTTCTTGCCATTTCTGCCAGCACTCACTCACTGCTCCAGCTTCCTCCGGAAGCTCCTGCTATGCCTGCCTCTGCAATTTCTGTCTCTAGATTTGACTTCTCCCTTGAGGGTCAGACCTTTATTTCCAGGCAACTCATGGATATTTCTACCACTGTGTTCCAATGACAACCTAATAAAATATATATAAACACTTGATCTATGTTCCCTTCCTGAACTTCAATCATGTCTCCTAAGTTCCCAACACATGCCAGGGTGTCACCACTCCCTACTGACCGAAGACTGAAACTGCAGTGTCGTCTTTGACTGCTCCATCCCTACACCACACACCCAAGATGCGCTTGGGGATCCACATCTCCTGCATCTGCTCTTTACACTCCATTTCTTCTAGACTCGAATTCCAGTTCTTTTAGCCTCTTGCAAGTGTCACTATGGCAACCTTTTGACTGTTGTTCCATCTCTTCCCATCAGATTCACACTTGGCTTTTACAATACCTTCATAACAGAGGTCTGACACTGTCAGCTGGGTATTCAAAAGCTTGCATCAGTGGCTGAATTCTTTATGGGCCTCCCACGACAGGATGCAGAACCACTCAGCATTTTTCACATTTGGCCCATAAAGTGTGGTCTCTCTACTTTGACAGATGCTGTTTTGGAATACCCAAATCTCAGTTTTTGATGTTCAAATCCATCATGCCTTTAAAAACCACCACTGTCAAGACTCCCAATCCTCAACGGCAAGTGAGATACCCCTGCCCACTGACTCATCTCTGTCACTTTTATCTGTTTCCAGCAGTTCACATGGCATTTGATATCTCAACCAGAGGACCAGTGGGAGAGGAAAGTCTCACCTGGTGCCTCTATATCCCCAAGAGTGTCTTGTGCTGTGATGCTATGGCAGGGCAGGTGTGTGTCAATTACCAAATGAACCACTCAGAACACTCATCCACCATTCTGACCTCTAATAAGGACAATGAGAAAGTCTAAGAAGATAAACTCTTGGTTTCTGAACCCTAGGAGCTGGCGCTTATTGTGGTGATTAGGCTAATTTATACTAATCCACAGGAAACAGTAGCAGGTAGACAGCAGGATCATTGAGGAGATACACTATGTTCTTTCAAAGAAATCAGAAGATTCATTCTACTTTTATAAAAATAAATTGGATCTTAGTAATAAATTTATTTTGAATAGTTAAGAGAAGTGTATACTCCAGGAAGCAAGTACTAAAAAACAAGCACAGTAGTTGGAGCAAGTGTGGTTTGTTCACAAAATTATGAATAAACCTGCCATGACAGGTAAGGAAAAAGCAGCAGGAGAAGGAGCGCTAACATCCTGCTGATGTCAGAGCACGGACTAAGTGCCTCATTGGGATCGTTCCATTTAATCCGCACAACAGCCTTGTAAAGTAGATAGTATCACCGCCAGTCTTATAGCAAGCAGGCCAAGATTTGAGGGGATTAAGTAACTGGCCAAGGTTATACAGGATTAAGTGGCAGAGCTGAGCTCTGAAAAGGACAGCTGGCTTCCATCACATCATGATGTCCCCTCTCAAGCAAAAAAGAAATGTCACAGGGTGTTTTTTTTCAGGAAAGGGAACTTGTTATATTTATGAACAGTTCAAATTGTAAGCCCCCAAGTACAATGTGTACCATATATATATATATCCATATATCTATATCTATATATCTCTATCTCTATCTATCTATCTGTATCTATATCTCTATCTATCTATCTATCTATCTGTGGCTTAATACGTGTTAGCTGACTCTGAATGCAAGTTTGTCCACCTAGAGAGAGAAGCAGGAAGCTCCGGGAGAAATGCTGAGGACCACCACAGAACTGGGCAGTGCCTCAGACTAAAAGGAAGCATAAAGAAGGAATATAGACTCAAGAGTCTGTATTTACCCTCGTTCAGTCTACTTCAGTCACAACGGAAGAGAGATAATCCAGCTGAACATAGCTTTATAATAATGAACACTCATCTTCAGATGTGACGGACAAGAGGAAATACAAAGGAAACATACTTGGTCTCATTGGCACATCGGATCTTGCAGCCATCTTGGGGTATCACCAAGCCCAGGTGCATTCGGAGCCTGCAGTTGGTGGGTCCTGTGTGTGGCCACACATGAGTTCCAGGGTGCATGACGGAATACTTGATCTGCACAGAAAACATGACATTCAATCAGCCTTTGATCAAGGTGTGGAGAAACTGCTATATTAAAGTGACAGTACAAAATTACTGTCAGCTGGGATTAGAGCCTTTGTGAGACTTAAGATTTATATACCCATCATATTCTTTGTGAAAGGACTAAAAATAAGCACTCAAACTGTGCATGAAGTGGTAAATATTGAATATTTTCTACCCTCAATTCTGACACTAATGACATGAAATTATGTTTCATTAAAAAGTACGTGGGAAACAAAGAGGTATTCATTGGGACGAAGGAAATAACCACTGATTTGTACAGGTCAGCCCTCTCTCATTCCCAACAACTGTGTTCTCCCAGGTACTGAAAACACTCTTGGTACCTGTCCTCTTCTGCATCCTGTTGTCTCGGGGAATTTTTCTAGTAAAGTGCAGGTTTTAGGAGCTCCTTTACAGGCATTTTCATTTTTCCTTCCTAGAATAGTAAATGACAAAAACTACTATTAGAAACAAGTCTAAAGTTGGGCACTACGGCATGTACCACTAATCCAGCTACTCCGCAGACTGATTTGGTAACACACAAGCCCAGGAATTTGAGACCAGCTTGAGCAACACAGCAACCCATCTCAAAACAAACAAATCCAGTGAGGCTTACCTTATCCATTTAGACCCTATGCATAGTTTTTCTTACTGCGAGAATGAGGAGGACAGATAAACACAAAAAGACAAAGTGTCTTCCTTTAATAGACAATGACAGTCCTTTTCTACCCCCAATAAAAGGAAAAGGATAGGAAAGGAAAAGTGAAATTATCATTATACTCAGATGACATGATAATGTACACAGAAGACCCCAGAAACTCCACCAAAAGGCTCATGGATTTAATAACCAAATTCAGTAGCATAGTTGGATACAAAGTTAACACCCCAAAATCAATAGCATTCCTGTACACAAGCAACAAACAGAGAGAAATTAGGGGAATCACACCTTTCACAATAGCATTTAAAAAGATGAAATACTTAGGAATCAATCTAACAAAAGAAGTAAAAGATCTATACAGTGAAAACTATAGTATTCTGAAAAAAGAGATTGAAGAGGATATCAGAAAATGGAAAGATATTCCTTGCTCATGGATAGGAAGAACTAACATTGTGAAAATGGCCATACTCCCAAAATTATTGTACAGATTCAATGCAATCCCAATTAAAATACCATTAGTATACCTCACAGATCTAGAGAAAACATTCCTAAAGTTCATCTGGAACGAGAAGAAGCCTAGAATAGCAAAAGCAATCTTGGGAAACAAAGGAAAGGCAGGAGGCATCACAATTCCTGACTTGAAATTATATTACAAAGTTACTGTGATAAAATCAGCATGGTACTGGCACAAAAACAGACCTGAAGATCAATGGAACAGATTAGAAAACACAGATCCAACTACAAACACACTCAATCACCTTATCTTTGACAAAGGGGCCAAACATGTTCAATGGAAGAAAGATAGCCTCTTTAATAAATGGTGCTGGAAAAACTGGCTTTCCACATGCTGAAGACTAAAACTAGTCCCATGTCTTCACCATGCACTAAATTAAAGTCAAAATGGATCAAAGATCTAAATATTAAAACAGAAACACTAAATTTATTGGAAAAGAAAGTAGGTAGAAATCTTGAAGATATTAGGTAGGCAGAGAGTTCACAAACAAAAACCAAACTGCATGGGAAATATTTCGAAGAATCAACAACTGGGATCTCATCATATTGAAAAGTTTCTGCACATCAAAAGAAAGTAAAAAGAAAACCCACGAATTGGGAAAAAATTTTAGACAACTGCCCCTCAGACAAAGGACTTCTACTAGGACATATAAAGAATTTTTAAAAAATCAGGCACCCCAAATTCAAAGACCCAATCCAAAAATGGGCAGCTGAGATGAATACACACTTCTCAAATAAGAAATACTAATGGTGAATACATGAAAAAATGTTCACCATCATTAGTCATTTGAGAAATGTAAATTAAAACAATGACTCCATCTCACCCCAGAAAGAATGGCTATCATCAAGAAATCAACCAATAGGGGCTGGGGATTTAGCTCAGCGGCAAAGCGCCTGCCTGGCAAGCACAAGGTCGTGAGTTCGGTTCCCGGTACCGGAGAAAAAACAAAAAAAAACAAACAAACAACAACAAAAAAAGAAATCAACCAATAAAAATGCTGGAGAGGCTGTGGGGAGAAAGGAACCCTACTTCAGTGCTGGTGGGAGTGCTGGCTGGTGAAACCACTATGGAAATCAGTTTGGAGACTCCTCACAAAACTAGGATTGGGAGCCGGGTGTGGTGGCACATGCCTGTAATCCCAGCACTTGGGAGGCTGAGGCAGGAGGATCGTTGTGAGTTCGAGGCCAGCCTGGGCTGCAAAGTGAGCTCAAGCCCAGTCTGAACTCCATAGCGAGACCCTGTCTCAAAAAGACCAAAAAAAACCACAACAAAACTAGGACTGGAAGTCCCATTTAACCCAGCTATTCCCCTTCTGGGTGTTTTCCCAGAAGAATTAAAAACATCATACCACAGCAATATATGTACATCCATGTTTACAGCTGCACAATTTGTTATAGCTAAATCTTGGAAGCAACACAGATGCCCATCCACTGAGGAATGGATAAAAATGATGTGATATTTCTATACAATGGAGTATTACTCAGCTATAAAAAAGATAAACTTGAGGCTTTTGTAGGTAAATGGATGGAACTAGAGACCATAATCGTAAGTGAAATAAATTGGACCCACATATGTAAACATCATATTGTCTCCTTGCTGTAGGAACCTGAAAGAATAAGTAAAACTCAAAACATACAATAGATCATCAAAAAGGGAAAGAAATTGCTCAAAGGAAGGAATGACTGGGATGAGGGAAAGGAGAAAAAAGAAGGAAGGTAAAATATAAATATAAATAGCTGTGATAACTGTATTGCTGATGTCTGATGGTATATTGAAAGGAATAGTTAATGCTTAAAATTTTTTACGTTCTGACCAATTTTGCATGATTGTGTCTGGTAATCAGGACAGCTGATTTGCTGGTAACAATACGCAATGGAATTACCATAGTGAATTCCTACCATCTTGTCTAGTAAAACTCTGTATTGTCTGTAATGTTTTATCTAATAATTATTTTCTTATTCTCTTTAATGGTTTGAACAATCTTCCATTCTCACATTGGTAATTGGAGCAATATAGTTGAGGATAGCAATATGTAATGTAACAACCACTGTTAATTCGTATTATTTTGTCTTGAAACCCTGTATCACTTTAAACGTTCTTGCTTTGGTTTGTTTATGTTTGTGATGTTGGTATGCTGCTACTGTTCTATTTTTTTGTTTGTTTGTGTCTCCTTTACTACTCTCTTTAAAATAAAAAAAAATAGCCAATGACTGGCAGAGCAGGACCTCTCCATCAGTGTCAGACAGTTAAACTAAGGATATCTAGTGAGCAAGGTAAATGCTGAATACTTAATGTGTCCACTGGAATAATGGCCCTTCTCAAAGATGCCCACACGCTAATCCAGGATACTGTGATATGTTATATTATGTGGCAAGGAGGAATTAAGATTGCAGGTGGCATGGAGATTTCTAGTGAGCTAAACTTAAAATAAGAAAATTATCCTGCTTAACTCCATGGGCCCAATGCAGTCACAGGGATGTGGGAAAAGGAGGAGAAAGACTCAGACTGGCATGGAGTAAGAAGGACCTACTGACCACCGCTGGCTTTGAAGATGGAAGAGGAGCATAAGCCAAGGACGCAGAGAGCCTCTAGGGGCTATGGCCCCTAAAACAACAGCACTTTGATTTTAGCCCAGTAAGACCCATCAAAGACTTCTGACTCCTAGAACGGTAAAATAATAAATGTGCATATATTTAAGTCACTAAGCTTGTGATAATTTGGTAGCCACTTGTATTATTATATATAGTATACATATTATATATATACATCATATATATAATATATATAACTAAAATATATTTCCAGGATTATATCAGTTACAAAAGGTATTTTTCATTGGAATTTAATGTCTTCTCAGTGTACAGATCATCCTTTAAGTGTTGATAGAGAATGACATTTAAATGAAGAGAAGGACAAACAAGTTTTGGAGAGATGTCTTCTATGAGTAATTCTATTGGGAATACAGATTCTGGGACACAGCTTTAAGCATCCCAGATGATGCCAATTTCTTCACACTCTATAAAATTAGTTTATTGGGGAATATGTGCCCAGAATGTATGCAACATCGTACGCTTTCATGGGGGAATGAAAACATGGACTGTTTGAAAGACAGAAACATTTTAATTCTCTACTCAAAAATCTCACTACATCTAAAGCTGAGTTTAATTTGATTTCATAAATGCTAGTTGTATACTAAGATAATTCTACACTGAGAATAAAATGAGAGTTACAAGAGATGGAACTTCAAGGTATTTGCTCCAATCAAGTGGACCTCACTATGTTAGAGAAGCCACAAATCTGTATTAGCCTTTACAAGTGCTCTTTTTGCCTTTTAATTTCATAAAACTTTAGTTGCTATTGTTAGTGTTGATGGAGTTCTGCAAATGAACTAAGCTACAAATAGTCTGAACAAATATTATACAAGTGTATAATAAGCATTTATAAACCCTAGCCTTCCAGGCCTTCCCATGTGCAGAGCCAGGGGGCACCTTGGCAAGAGTCCATAATTCTGCATTCTGGGCTAGTAGGCAGTGGCTGAATGAAGCTTGGTGGCTTAAAAAGCAAGCAGAGCCTGCTAGAGACCCCAGAAGCACAGCAGTGAGGCTGAGCAGTGCTACTAAAACAGGTATGTCTCACCTGAATGACAGGTAACAGACAAAGCGGTTGTCATTAGGATTCCCACTTGTTCAGGATTGGGCAAGGAGTACTCCTGGCCCTTTAGAAACACATAGGTTGAGCCTCTCTAATTTAAAAATCCAAAATCCAAAGCTTGCCAAGTGTCAATACAATACTCAAAAAGGTTTAAAATTTGGATCATACTTTTGGATCACTGATGCTCAACTGGTAAAGTCTACGCAAATGTTCCAAAATCTGAAAAAAAAAAAAAAAAAAAGAAATCTGAAACGCTTCTGGTCTCAAACATTTCAGATAATGAATACTCAACCTGTATTTTCTTTCGAGTCTGAAAGCACAGATTCTTCTAGGGAAAGAGCTGTGCAGTAAAGATTCAACATGTGTAGATTGCCACTGGTGGTTTTAAGTGTTCACACGTGGTCAGAGGGGGTTCAAGAACTGCAGCAACACTTTCCCAGGGCTCACCATGGGCCTGCAGCACGTCTGCATGCTCGGCGTGATGCATCTGATGTCTACAACACCCAGGAAGAGAGGCACTCATTGTACTGTACAAGAGAGGAATTGACACACAGCAGAGGTCACACACTGAATGTCAGAGCAGAGAACTGGGAATTCCAGTTCAGCCAGACTGGACCCAGACGCACTTTCCCACTACTGTAACAATCACATAATGTGCTACTGTTATGTAACAGAAAAGCAGTAGTGCTGTCATATCTTGGAAAACTGTGTCAGATCTTCTACTGGGTGCTCACTGACCCCAGTAAGAACCCTAAACTTAAGCTTCTATGCAAGGTATGTTACTCATTCCAAATAAATAACCTAGTGGTGCATCTCAAGGAGCAGACAAACAACAGAAATCTAAATCTGAAACTAACAGAAGAAATTATGAAGATCAGAGTGGAAATTAAGGAAATTTAAACTAAAAAAAAAGGATCAATGAATCAAAGAGTTGATTCTCCAAAGGGACGTGAAAGAGACCTGGGAATAGGGGGAGCTGTGAGGGAGAGGAGGAAAAGCGTTAAGGAGAAGAACCCAGATGTGATATTACATGTACTAGTTTCCTCATGATGGATGTATTTACTATGTATTGTAAACATACACTAATAAAATAGGGAAGAAATTATGTTTTACATTATTGATTTGTTTCCAGAAAATAGTTACTGAATCCCTTCTAAAAGCCTGTAATCCACAAATGGAAGGCCACAAAGAACTTTAATGTCTTGCTAAAAGGGAAGCTATGTGAATTATAGTCTTTATAGCAATAATATAAAACTAGAAGTTTGTTAATAATATTTTGGTATTGGGATTGAACCCAAGGCCTTTGCATGGAGCTACATTCCCAAAACATTTATTTTTTTATTTTGAGATACAATATTTCTAAGTTGTTAAATTGCTCAAGATGAGCTCAGACTTGTGATCCTCCTGCCTCAGCCTCCCAGAGTTCTGGAGTTGTAGGCCTATATTGCCAGACTCAGCTAGAAGTTAATTTTAACAGATGCAGCAACTGCAACAGATTGGGAAACACGTTCATCACACACACACACACACACACATACACACACACACACACACACCAATCTCTAAATTATTTAGAGTTAGCAGTCTATTTTTGGCCCTATCTCAGTAAAAATACCATACATTATGGTTTATGGAATGCATCCAAAGCTGTATCTAGAAGTCAGACCATAATCTTCATTGTTTTCATTAACAGAAGAAATAATAAAAATAAACGTACTAAGGAGTCCCAGTTAAAATGTTTAAAAGAACTAAATATAGTTTAACCAAAAGTATAAGAGGAAGAAAAAATATAATCGCAAGGATTAGAAGATATCACCATAAGAACATAAGTGAGAAGTAATTTTGTAAGATTTTTAAAAACCAAATAGAACTTTTATAGTTTATTATAGTCAAGAAAAAAAGTAAAAAACGACGTAAGAAATTACTCTCCGTACCTCAGAAAATCAAGTATAATGAAACAAGTAAAAATTTAGTCAAGTGTTGCTCCAATTATAGGTTCTATTTTTTTTCTTTCTTGCTTAATATTTTTATATCCCTATAAATTTTTGCATATTTCCACTTTATCAAAGCACCTATGTTCAGGAGAGATGACCATTTCCAGAGATTACTGAGATGCACACCATTTGGAAGCACTGCCCTAAGAAGCCAGGCAGCAGGTATAAAACATAAAAGACATTAATGGCATGGAAATACCGTATGGACACTTAAATGACAAATGGGCCGAATCACGTTTGTGATGTACCAAATGGAACTGTGCATTTAGCCCATATTAGGACAGTACAGCTCTGTTTAAAAAAAAACTTGTTGGAAAAAAATTAATAGTAATGTGAAATCATATGATCTCTTCCCTGATGGATACATCCTTGAAAATATTACTGAAGTGATTTACTTCCTTCTTACATAGCAGCATTCCAAATGCATAACTGAGATAAACCACTGTCCTCATTTGTCTATTATGTAATCTGATTGCTCATCATACTGACATTTTGTGTGTGTAGCTAAATATGGGGCACATGTTGTTTGTTCATCAAAATGAACTGACTTTTGTCAAGTGTTGCCTCCAATTATAGTCTCTATTTCTTTTCTTTCTTGCTTAATATTTTTATATCCCTATAAATTTTTGCATATTTCCACTTTATCAAAGCACCTATGTTCAGGAGAGATGACCATTTCCGGAGATAACTGGGATGCACACCATTCAGAAGCACTGCCCTAGGAAGCCAGGCAGCAGGTATAAAACTGTTAACAAAATGAACTGAAAACAGTCTTAAATGAAATGCTCCTTGTTTTAAAATAAATACACTAACTCACTGAACACATATACTAGCACTCCATTGATGTGTCAGGGTGTGCATTAGGCTCAAAAAAGGTAAAGCTGGACGTGAGCCACTGAGCTCTACCAGGCTCAGTAGTCACTGTCTGGCCATTCTGGTTTTTAGCCATTTCTACCATCTCTCATCCACGCCACTGTCATTTCACCTTGTAGCACCAACCATATTTTATATATGCAAATGAAGCTCAGGGATGCTCTGTACTAAGCCACGGATAGGCACATGATGGACTGATCAGTTAAACTTACACAGCAGGTCATTGTCAGTAACATATTATTCAACATTCAGAAAGATGAGGAAAAATAAAAATCTGGTTATATACATTTATGGAAATATACATGTATATAATATATATACCTTCACACATGCACATATACACACAAATTGCTCACATGCATTTTTTTAAAACAGTGGATTCATTTAAGAAATCTAGGTTTATGGGCAGGCTCCTCTAAGTCCAGGAATCCCAGCTTTGGGACTATCATAGAAGACTCTTGTCCCTTGTCCTCAGGTAACTGGCTGCAGAGAACAACTCGGAAGTCAGGAGCTCACCTTGTTGCCACAGCGTGAACTGGCTCCAATCACCCTTCTCCCGCAGGTTTTCATCTTCGGGCAGGAAAAGACCTTTGGCTTTATCCATCACCGCAAGGCCTTCATCACGGATTAACTTCCAGTTTCTTTCTAAAGACTAGAAGGAAGGGCTGGTTTCACTGAACTGAATGGATGCCTGGTAGAACATCTTATAATGACATCAGCTTTTTCCTTGTTTATTTGCTCAATAAAATAAGAAAATGTTTCCTCTCATCTAGATTGCATATTCTAGTTTTCTCAGATTTAGTTTTTCCTTTCAGTAGAGTCTTTTACAAATATGTCAATCAACAGTGCAAATACTAAACTTTCAAGAATATCAGAAATGTACCATTTGATGCATTATAAAATTAACATGAAGCACAGCAGATAAGCACCCCAGCGTTTAGAATTCACCCAAACAAAAATACTTGGTAGAGCCAAGCAGTGACCAGGTGTACTAGCAGATCTCCTGAAAAATCTCCTGCCGGCTGACCGGCATACTTTGTTGTCAGTCAGAGGAGGGTGAAAATCAGGTAGAACCAAACTGGGCAGGAGTGCAGGGATGACGTCCAGAGCAGCCAACTGAAATGATCTAGTACCAGAATAAAAGAGTAAAACTACTTTCCTACAGTAGGAAAAAGTTGTACAGCTAAATTAGGATTTTTGAAAGGTCAATTATTCCAATCATTTCTCTGGTAGATGAGATGTGCATGAAATAATGGAGTATATGGGTGTGAAGCTAGGCAGGCATATACTAGCTGATTTCAACAAGAATCCAGGGTCAGATATATTATTGTAAGTGGCAGAGAGCAGGAGACCAGAGCTAACAAGTACAGTGAGCAAGATTTTATTGCAAAATATGAAAATAATTAACACGTCTGAAAATGAACTGGGTTGCCTCGTAAAACATCACTGCTCAGCTTTTGAAATTACTCAACCAAAGTGAACTGTTACTGGGTAAAACAAAGCATCAGGTCATCAATCCAAGTCTTAAGAATTCATGATTCAGCACAGGAAAAGAATGCTAAGTCAGGGTGAGTACACAGGGGAAGGCTTGAAAAACTTATTCTCAGATATGTGTGAAAACGCGATGCCAACCTCAGCCAACTCGGAGTTAAGTCTCACCTAAAGCTACCTCCATACTTTAAAGACTGGCTTAAAAGCTTCTCCACGCAAGCACCCTGTCCTTTGATGAGTAAACAGACTATAACTACTACTGTAGCAGGTAGGTGTCTCAGACAAACACCGGTGGCCAACTGTATGTTCACATAAGACAGACCCAAGTTGTAACCGGGAGGGCTGTCTCCACTTCCGTTTTCTGCACATACTTTCTTTGTCTTTTGCTATAAATATAACCTGCGTGCGAGGTTCAGCATTGTGAATCATTATGAATGCAGACTGCTGCCTGGCTCTGGAATCACAAATAAAGCCAATTAAGATCTGTGAAACTAGGTTTGTTCTCATTTTCTTCTTTAGCACCAGGCATCACTTTTTAGATCATATGAAAACATGAGGGTTATTAAAATACAATAGGGCAAGAGACTTTGAGTAGTGATTGATTTTATAATTCTATTTCTGTGAAACTCACCCTTTAGTTTGTGTAACATCTACACCAGCTCCTACCACCTCCTTCCTTGGAGTGGTGCTGGTCATTTCTTTTCTTTCAGCACTCAGTTCACTAACTAGTTTCTGTATTTTTTCTTTCATTCCCAGTAGGTAGTTTGTAATTAGCAAGTCAAAGACTATATTTTAATAAAGAGATACTCAAAAGTCCTCACTTTGGCAGGTCCCCAGATTGACAGAACTCAACGGTGCTGTTAAGAATGTCAAAAACATGGTAACGCAAAACAAATGCACCTCAGGATTCTAGGGTATGTTTACATCTTCTCAAATGCTCCTAAACTGCCGTCACTCATTCCTGTTACTGTAACTTGTTCAAGTTGCCAGATAAATCTGTTATATTCTTGTTAAACTGTCACACAGACAAGGAGAAAATTACCTCTCTAACATAGGAAATTACTTTCCAAATGAGGTTATTGGCACCTTATAAGGGCAAGCTCTTTCTCTCTTCCTCCTATTATTTTAGAAGTTTCTTTCATTTCTTTTGAAAGTTGATTTTAAGAGCATAGTTAAAAATAGCTGATCTTTTGTTAACAAATAGGTCATAAAGCCCAAGGGGAAATGTTGAAGTAACTGCATCACTCAATACCATCTATTTATTTTTTCCTTAAGAACGGGCTGTCTTTTAATGTGAAATGTCATTCCTGTATCTCCCTCAGCCTCCTAGGAAGTTTTGCCAAGGTACTTTTCCACAGGTAGCAATGATTTTTAAAAAACCTTTGCTTTCCCTTGTTACATGTATAGCATGATAGACTCAGGCAAAAAGGAGCAACCCAATGCAGAAGCACTGCCCCAATACCTTACTCCAAAACCTGTACTACAATGTCAGCGGTGCTCTCCCTTAACTGTACTGGTTAATTTTGGTTGTCAGCTCGTCTGGATTGAGACAGGCCTAGAAAACTGGTAAGGCACACTTCTGGTTGTTCATGATAGTGCAGCCAGAGACAAGTGGCATATGGGTCCGTGAAGTGCTGAACGGGGAAGGGGAAGACCTGCCTGAATGTGGACAACACCATCTTGACACCAGCCAATAGGCTGGGGGCTGGATGGAAGGAAAGGTGCAAGAAGGGAGAAGCTTGCACACATTCGACCACTGAGCAGGGGTATTTCTGCTGCTGCTGTCTCCCACGCACATCGGAGTCCAGCCCTTAGATGTGGATTTGGGCCGGTGACTCTCCAGGGAGACTCCAGCCTTAGTATGGGGCTGTATCATATGACCACAGCAGATTTCTAATTTTCTTTCATTATGAAACAGCCTGCTTTATTTCTTCTTCTGAGTTCAACACTTTGTCACTGAATTTGACAGCTGGAAGGATCTGTACTGTTAATCTGGTGGAAATTTTGACCTTAGAGATGATGAAGTGAATTCTGAACTGGTTAACGAGCCTAAGAACTCATCATCTAGTGGTTATGAGAGACAGTGCCAGAAACCCACTGTGCTATCTCCCCAGTCAATCCTAGGGCATCTGAGGGAGGAGAGGAGATCGATGCAGGCGGAGGGGTGGCACTGTGGTGGCTCTGGGGCCCTTTATTTTATGTGGAGCAAAAGAGCAACTGAAGCACCCGTTATGGTTGCTACATTGTGTCAACTTGGGGAGTCTAGAGGTTTGGCTAAGTGACTCAGCAGGAAGCCAGGGTGCTTACTTTGTATACATCCTGAGCCTGTGGAAGAGGAGGGCATGGAGATTATGTGAGAGCTACACGCCCCTTTGGTGGGGGTAGCCGGCTTACAATGTAAGGGAGGGAAAGAGGCTGCTTGCCGTCACTCCTCCCTTTCGCTTTTTTTTTTTTTTTGCTGTGTTCTGCTGCCATTGCCCCTTTGCTCTTGCTGCTTTGCTATCTTCTGCCTCGGAGCCAGCTAAGTATGGACTGAAACCTCCGCAAACTGTAAGCTAAATAAACCTTTCCTTCCTTAATTTGGGGCATTGGGTATTTTCTCTCAGCAACGAGAGAGAAGTAACCAAAACAACCCCACAGCCTCTCATGTACAGTTAAGTCCCCTGTGAATGCGTTCCATTCCGGGAGAATGTTTGTAAGTTGGATTTGTTTGTAAGTCTGGCAAAGTGAGTCTCGCACAGCTTTGGCACAAACACACAATGTATATTGCTTTGGGATTACTAGCAGTCTCCTCTACATCACTGCTGATTTTTCTCTTGCTTCCACACATCCTGGGCTCTCAGCAGCACGCTACTGCACACTACCACACTGCACAGCAAGCACACAGCAGCACGGCTGTGACAATGTCTGGCAGACACGTGAGCTACTTCCATGATTTGTTCACATCTGGGAACGTTCCTAACACGAGGTCAGTTCCAGTCAGTGACAGTCTGCAGCCTGAATGTCCGTAAGTAGGGGACTTGCTGCAGTGTTTTACTGAGCACCTGTTGGTTCAGGCACTCATCAAGAGCAGACACTTTCACGGTGCTTGGATGGTCATATACTTCCCACTCAGGCCTGGGCAGAGGCGCAACTCACAGACAGCTCACAAGTGGGGACTGAGTGAACTAAAAGGCAGCACCAGTTAAACTCACATACATAAAGAAAACAAAGACAACAACAATCATGAGCTACTAATGGTTCAGTGTAAACACTCTAAAAAATATTCAGATTGAACCCAAGGCCTTTGCACTGAGCTACATTCCCAGCTTTTTTGAGACAGTCACTTGTGCCAAGTCACTAAGTTGCCCGTGCTGGACTGAAACTTGAAGTCCTCCTGCCTCAACCTCCTAGCCTGGTTATAGACAGTTTTTTGACCAAAGTAATGATTCTCTTTGAGTATGCTCTCTTTAAGAAGTGTGAAGTGGGTCTTGGAAATGTTTTTAACCAAGGAAACGCATTTTACGAAACTCACTGATTATAAGAGATTAAAGACATAACCCAGTTGCACGGTATTGCACGTATTTGGTCCATTTGGGCTGTTACAAGAAAACACCATAGACCAGGTGGCTTATAAAAACAGAAATATGTTTTTTCAGTTTTGGGAGCTGGAGGTCTATGATCAAGGAGTTGGCGGATTCTGTACGGGTGAAGTCCCGCTTCCTGGTTCACAGACAGCCCCTTCTCACTCCAGCCCCCACATGGGGAGAGGGTCTGGCCGCACCGGGAGGCCCCAGCCCCAGGCTCCACCCTTACAACCCAATCTCCTCCCCCAAGTGTCTCCTCGAACATGAGCACCTTGGGCTCAGGCGTTCAACAGAGGGATTGGAGGGGAACAGAAATATTCAGAGCACAGCAGTGGGGTGGAGAGCGACAGGGGAAATATGAGCTTTCTCTAAAGAAATATTACTCAGTGATCTGACTGGGTAGAATATAATGCGTTTTTGTGAAATTACAATAGGAACTTGAATGCTTACAGAAAGGAAATATGCTTACACAGTTTTAAAGCTTATGTTTGACATATTATTTCCTTGACCCTAAATTCATCCATTTCATAAAACCAAGAGGAGAAACTAATAGCTTTGTTATTTGAGTGGGTTGCTAGAAGACAACAGATCCTAC